GTCTCCCAATAAAAAATACAAAATACTTTTTACACTTATTTTGGGAGAGTTTTCTATACTAAGACGGGGTATTTTTTAGTCGTCATGACTGGACTAAAAAAATCTCTCTTTTCTTATTTGTTTCTTGTTTTGAGTTCATTCTTGTCTCTCTCGCTCACTCGTTTTTCACTTACTTTAGTTGTTTGCCAAAGTTATACAATTTTTGTTGTTACGATTTTTGTATATGTTTGTACTTTTTGGCACGTGACAATAAATTGTTGTTTGTTGCATGCCCTCCCCCCTCCCACCACCCAAACCCCACACATTGTTGTTGCCATCTGAAAAGTGTCTTGGAAAAGGAAGAAAAGTGTGTCATAAATGTCATAGTTAATATTTGCTGCTCTGTAAATTTTGCTGCTACTTTTCTTGTCAGAGACTTATTTTCTTTTTTTTTTGGTTTTATTTTTTTTTTGGCAACGTATGAGATTGGGGGCTTACTACGATTCTTTATACACATATCCGCTGTATGTTCTGTCAACCTTGACCCGCTAAAAAACAAAAGCACTGAGAGAGAGAGAGATAGACAACAACACTGTAGAGAACGAGACGGAGACAGAGAAATTGCAAGGCGAGCAAATTTATGGGATTTTTGTAGCTAAAAAGTCACAGATTCAATTCAAGCGTGCATCATGCCATGGATGGTGTCACTGTCGTCTCTCTCTCTCTCTCTCCCTCTCTCTCTCTCTCTCCCTCTCTCTCTCTCTGTCTGTCTGTCTGTATTTGTGTGTATTCCATCCGATCCATAACCAATAAAACCGCAAAAAGATACATGAGATGCAGTACGGTCGTATTTTTAATTAGAGATTGAGACCCAGAACGAGAGACAGACAGAGAAAAGGGTTTCAATTAGAGATTGATACCCAAAAGAGAGAAAACAAGTCCATGTAAACCGATTAAAAGTGAAAAGAAAGAGACCCTGAAAACACATACACAAAAATGGGAACGAGAGTCTCATTAGGGTAAAGTCGGTCATGTATCATGCCTTATCAATCATCAACTAATGACACACTGGCACACACGCACACCCTGCAAAGCTTGAACAGGAAATGAAAATGGAAAAAAACTAAGAAAAAATTGAATTTCCCCAAATTAAGTTTCTTTTGTTTAACATAAGTTGTTTTCTATATTTAAGATGGTTTGTGATATATAAAACTCAAATAGTTATTAGCTAAAAAGTGTTTTAGGTTGTAAAAACCTTAAGCTATAGTTCTATGTAGTTACAGTTTATATAAAAATAAATTTAACCCTGGAAACAAAACACCTTTAAAATCATTTTTGTTGCTGCTTGTTTCGCAACGAACGTTTTGCTTGAATGAAAACCACAAAAGCTGAAATTCAATCGACATATTGCTTATGGGGAAAAATGCTGGGAGCAACCTTGAACCAAAAAAAAAACTAGAACTAGAATGAAAGATGAGAAGAGCAGAGCAGAGATGTGCAGTAAAGAGCACAGATGAAGGAATCATGGGGGGCGCGGGGGGCTAAAGAGTGGCAGTAATGCACATTAATCTCTCACCTGCTACCAAGCAGCACACCACACAAAAACAAGCTAAAGGAAAGAGAGAGAGAGCAAGCTAGAAATATGATTGAAGAGGATAGAGAGGTGCATAACAGTAGGTTGTAGCTTTGGAGGGTATCCAAAGCTTATGATACCCTTGGCCGGAATATATATTCTTTATGTGATAAATAAAATATCTGTTAATCCTTGCAGCCATTCCAATTTCTATTCAATATAATTAATTGCCATCAGAGAGTTTCTTAAGTTACATTAAACAACTAAACTACAAACAGCTCCTCGAAATCAAAATACTCCCCGCCCTTTACAAGGGCTGTTGAAAGTGTATAATAATAAAAGAAACTGTAAAATTTGTTCACCTTTCGCGAGAGAGGGAGATAATACAAAAAAAAAAAATAAGAAAAAAAAAATCAAATGTTGATTATTGTAGAGGGATTTGATTTTGTTGTTGTTGTTGTTGTTATTTGTGTGCCGATTGTTGTTGCTGGTGTGCTGGTTCTCCTGTTGCTTTCCAATGGCCTTAGTTTTGTTTTTGTTGTTTTTTTGATTGCGGTTAGTTTTTTGCACTCCCTCGCGCTTGCTCCTCTACTGCTAAAGCTTTTCCTTCCCCCTCCTCTTCACTGCATTTTCTCTTTCTGTGGCTCTGCGTTTTTGTTGCTGTGGTTGTGTTTTATTGTTGGTTTTTGGGGCTTGCCTGCTGCTGCTGCTGCTCTTGGCCTAAAGTTGATTGCATGACATTGTTCTTACGTTGCTAAAGCGCTCACTCTGCTCCGCTCTCTGCTCTGCTCTATGCACCGCTCTCTGCTCCGCTCACTGCTCTGCTCTATGCTCCGCTCTCTGCTCTGCTCCGCTCCCTGCTCCGCTCTCTGCTCACTCCTTTGTGTGTGTTTTGTGGATTGTTTATATTTATTTTGTTGTAGTTTTTACAGTTACCTTCAGTATCAAAAGGCAACTTTACCGCCGCCTCCTCACTCTCTCTCTCTCTTTTGGCCATTTACAATATTATTGAACGACAGGCGTCGAGGAGGCTGGAACTAACGAGGCTGGGGATACACTTAGAAATACGATCCCTCCCATGCGATTTATGGATAAAGCTGTCATCATACATTCATATATTTATATTTGGAAATATTATGCAGAAATTTATTCGAGATTGATTGGTTTTATCTACGCGATCCGTTTCTCTCTGCTCCTTATATGATCCTTTCCTAAATATTCCCCCTCATATTTATTTCTCTTCTCCCTTGCAAAGCTTGTAGAAAACCGGATAATACCCTATCCCCTAGAGAGTATTAAAACCACTTGGTTCTGGCTGCACTACCGCCCGCACTCTGCCCCTCCCCCCTTTTTTTATTGTTCGTTGTTCAAACTTTGATTTCTATATCGTTTGTTGTGCAGTGTTTTGGTTTTTATTTTATTTTGTTTTTGGTTGAAAAATACTTGAAGTGCATTTCCCATTCCCATTCATTTTTCGTGTTGCAATTGATGAATGCCCGAGTAATAAACTAGAAAAACTGCCCATTTTTTTTTTGAAAAGCGTCGAAGAGTGCTCAAAGGAAAACTAGAGGAAGTTTTTCTGTAGTTTTTATTTGGAGTGGGAATGCGCCCATGGGGCTGGTCTCTGGGGTCTGGGTGGGGGGCTCTGAGGTGATGATTTAGACAAATAGCTTTTCTCCAACCGCTACACTGGCAAGTGAGGAGAGTGCGTTAAAAATAGTCGAAATATTGAAAATGTAGAACATACATTAATTGGGGCAAAGCGGAAAAATAATTACTGTTTGCGACCAAAAAAAATGGGCAGGGGCACGACAGGAACGGCCCTTTTATGTGTACAGTTTCACACAAAATACAAAATAATAAAATAAACAAATATAAATAAAAAATAATAAGTCGCCTAATTGTTACATTGCTCAGAAATCATGAATATCTTGAAGAAAAAAAATGTTTTGCAGTTTCATATCTGACCGCTTTTTTTAACCGTTTTCCCCATCTTTTCCCTCTACCCTTATAATTCCTCTCTCTGCCTGTCGCCCTTCTGCCTGTCGCCCTTCTGCCTGTCGCCATTCTGCCTGTCGCCTCTGTGCCCCTTTTTTGTGGAGCCTAATGGAGCATTCTCATATTGCATGAACGGAATTTATGCATTTTAACTGCAATTTAATGCAGACATTGATATCATCATAAAAAAATGAGAAAGGGAGAGCTTCACAGGGTGAGAGAGAGAGAGAGAGAGCGGGGTGAGAATAAAGAGTGTAATAAAGAGAGTTGAGTGGAGACTTCTGTGACGGCATATTGTTTGGGGGAGGGGAGGGGTGGGAATCGTAAGACCTGCGCCAAATGGCGGCGGGGAGTCCGCATTATTGATATTGACAATAATGCGACAACATTTTGAAAGAATGCGTTTTATAATAATAGTTAACGATAATATAATTTTGTGATGGGTAAGAAATGAGGAAAATAAGGAGAGAAAGAAGGGAATAAAAGGAAGAAGCACTAGCAGGATGCGGAGGAAATGAAGCCAAAAAGCAGGAAAGGAGCCCATTATGCCCGCCAGCACTTGACTTGCATTTTATGCCACAAATTACAAAAAAAACATAAAGAGGTTAAAAGCGGAAGAGTAAAAGCAATCAAAGGAGACCATAACGAAGTGGAAAAGTGCACTGGAAAATTGAAGGGAAATCTTTGAAAAATTGCTGGAAAATCTGCGAAAATTCTAGAAATTAACTTGAGGTACAAAATTTCGGAAATTTTACGCTTAATTTTAATGGGGATTTTATAAAAACACCATCTCTTATTACTTCTTTTCCTCTGTTTGTTGTTTGTTTCTGGCAGAAATTGGAATTTTTATATTTTCTATAACGAATCAGCGTTACTCATCATTAAATAAATGTTTTTAAGCTTGTAATCGAAAGAGTTTCTTTCCATTTTTTCTCGAATAAATATCGGTGTAAAATTTTGCTATTTCCATGCCTAATAAGACCTCCAAAAGGGTCATCAAAAAGCTTCCATGCTGTTCTATTTAATCTGCGATTGATGAAGGTCTTTGGCTGTTAGATCTCTATATATATTTTATGGGCATCATAAAAATAAATATCCTTAGCTATTTTTTTTTTTATTGAAACTTTTCTGCAGCTGCAACTTACCCGACATTCTGCTGTGTGGCGGACCTCCTCTTGGCATCCCAGCGCAGTGTCAAAAGTGTTGTCAGAGCATCCAACTACAGTGTCAAACATATGTAAATACACACTCAACCTCTCTATATATACATATTGTACATATACATATGTACATATATTGGTAGGGTCAGCCTCTTTGTGTGGCAGCAGCCTTTTTAATGTTTTTTTTCGATGGGCCACTGCCTTTATGACACTTATTTTCTGTCTCTTCCTGGGCAAGCCACATCCTGTTTGCTCTTTGGCATATTTCCCATAAATGAAAGGCTCTTTTGGTGGTTAAAATATGATTTTATAATGCAATTGATGTGTAGCGCACGTTGAATTTTATGTTGGGAATGATGTACAATTATTTTCGCTCTAAAAAATGGTCTATTGCTGGTGGTGTTTTTTTTTTTGGATTTTTTATTGCAGATTTATTGTAATTGTAGACTTCTTGTAGATTGATCGATTAGAGCTTTAGCTCTAGAACTGTCTTGATTGAAGCTCTTAAAGATTGATTGTAGATTGCAGAACTCTAGCAGATTGATTGTAGAACTCGTTTTTGATTGATTCTTGATTGATTGTTGATGTTAGTTTGTAGTGGGGAAAACTAGCTTGCAACTTGTTCGATTTCCCCTTTAATTCCGCCGCTTAAAACCCATGAACCTTTAGTTGATCAGCCTTAGCCAATCCGGCCTTGGTCAGCCACTGGCAAATGTTCTCCCGCTGATCGCCCTGGAGCTGTAGCACCTCGCCGTACTCCTGATGCTCGACGACAGTGCCATTGCAGGCGAACTCCTTCTTGCAGGTGCGCACAATCTTCTTCAGGTCGTACTCCTGCGACAGGCCCTGGACAGTGGTCAACGTTTTGCGGCCATTCCGCTGCTGTATGCGGATGTGGATGAGTCCGTCCTGGATATCATCGTCGTTGCCCTTCGAGGCATCCGCAAAGGGATCGCGAGTGTTCAAGTTTTGGATCGACATTTCGTAAAAAGTCGTGTCCGAAAATTACACGAGTAAAATATCAAAGCCTAAAAACGGATTAAAACTGTTTTTTTTTTCGAAAATTATTTTTTTTTTTTTTCTTTTCTTGGGGATATTTTGGAACGTTCGGATTTTGGCTTTGAATTGAAATTATTTGATGTTTACGAGAGAACTGAGAAAATCACAATGAGAATAGAACTGGGTGGGATAAATGGTAGGTAAAAGTTAAGTAAAATAAAAGTGAAAGGTGGGTTGATTGCATTTTTATTTGTGTGGCATAAGGACCTATGAAAATGTGTGAAAATATTCCATCAAAGAAGGCGGCTAGAAATGCTTAGAAATGTTATAAATCAGCGCCCATTGGTTTGGTTTTTGCACTTTCTGCCAGCAATTCACGGGCTAAAAGATCATCGTGATTGTAGTTTTTCAGGGCATACAAAAAGCGTTTTAAAAGGAGATATTTTCGCTTGCTGTTTGCATTATTTTATACAGAATTTAAAACAGAATTTCGCTGAAGTCTCGCTGGACCCTCGCTTTGGTTTTCGATGCTCTCTGATGTTCCTCTGCTTTTAATGCCGAAAATTGAACATGTCCGGGATATCTACAGACTCTTCTCTTGTTTGCTGTTGCAGTTTGCCGCTTAATTGAAGTGTCATTAATTTGTGGTGCCTCATTATAATTAAACATAATTACAAAAAAGAAAAAAAAAAATGAACACACAGAGAGGAGTGCTCTCTGGCTCCACAAAGATGATTTCAGTTATTGTTTGGGGAGCATTTTCTTGTAGAGCAGATTCCATGATATGACGAAAATGAAAAGCAGACAACGAATAACCCGCTTCGTTGACCCTCAAAAAAGCAAAACAAAATTCCATTAAATAAGTGGAGAAGGGGCCGGGGCCTCCGTTTGTCTCTCTGTTGCGCTCAAGTGATTTACATGGAGGCTTTCACAGTTTTTTTGGGGGGAGCGGAGAGCTTTATCTTCATACAGAGTGGAGAGGGGTGGCCCCCTGAAAAATGTAGAAATTAAAACGTTACCCATGACTATTGTGTTTTATCTTTTATTTTGGGAGTTTATTTTTTTACCTACGCTTTTGACTTTTGGTTGCTGTCATAATGTGGTTGTTTCCTGATTTTTTTAGTGATAATTTTGTGGCACTTCCTGTTTTGGCTTACATATAGTGTAATTCATTGATTATTGCGGTCATGAACTTGGTTTTAGGTGTTTTTTTTTGGGGGTTCAGTGGCCAGCGATGGGCATAAAAATGCACTCGTTGGGTCTATTAAGGCAGGAAATGGTAGAATGAATAGAAATGGGGAGAAAGGCTCAAACACCTGTGGTAGACACAAAATTTAAAATTACAAAGCTCAAAATTGTTACGGGTTTTTAGGTAAATATTTTCTACCTTAATTTAAAAAGTGTTTAATATATTCGGATGGCAGCAAAAGTTACAATTTAAAAGATTTGGCCTCCATATTTAAGATAGACTTCAATTAGGCAATTATCTACTTAGTTGCCAAAAATCAGAATAAACGGATAAACTCTAAAAATGAGAATTTTCTAGGTGTAGAAATTCCCTTCTTTGCCCGATAAATTTCATCTGATTTGCATATATTTTCTTAGATAACAAATACTTGCCATCTTTCTTTCGTATTTTCTGTTTAGTTTTCTGCATAAGAATCCTCCTTTATTCCTTTCCTTTAGTTCCCATATACTCGTGGAGAAGTCACGTACAACCCAAAAATTGGTAGCACAAATTGATTTTCGTGGCCGGCGTCTGTCCGCTTTCAAGCAAATAATCAAATCAGCAACCAGGCCAAACCGAACCGAACCGAACCCCAACCTCATCCTCATCCATCCCATTCATCTCTTTTTCGTATCTTTCTCTTTCCCAAAAATCAATCTTTTGGCTCCGCTATCCATCAGGGTGAAGACGCCCCAGAAATTGTGGTCATTAGTTTTTATTTTATTTTGTATTTTTTTTTTTTTTGGCATAAAGGAATCAAATTGGGGAATGCCAGTTCATGACTGAAACGCCAGCAAACTACTTAGCCAAGTTTTTTTATTTTTCTTGGAGACGGGTAAGGAGTTTTGGGCTTTGTTTAAACTGATTTTGGTAGCGCCAGAACCGTCGCCATCATTCAGTGCCTCTCCAATTGGGAACCCTTCCACTGGCACTCCTGCCTCTCCAATTGAAAATCTTCTTCTGGTGCCTGGTCCCTGCCGCTTGCTGAGTCGCATCAATCAGTGGTAAGGGGCCTTCTACGAGCCATTGTCTGAACTTGAAATTGACTTTTAAACAGCCCCAAAAGGCACGGCAGACAGATATACAGACAGATGGAGGAGACCGCGGAAACCGAGAGAGATTCAAAACGAGAGATCCGAGGCTAAGAGAACCGCAACATAAAAGCCTAATGATCTCCAGCCTCAAGATTGAGTTACATGCATCCGAATCTCTTGCGATCTCTGGCTCGTTCTCTCTCTGTCTCTCTGTGGATATTCCCTACCTCCCTAGCTCCTCCACAGCTTCATCGCTCCATCCACCACCTCTCAACAGTTAATCACGAACTCTGGGCCAAAAGAATGCCGGATTAAGGCGGCGTCTCCCCCAAACACCCCATCCCCACCACACAACTTGACTGGAACCAGTTTTTATGGAGCGCCGGCTTCAAAGTTGTCTGTCGATTGTTTGTGATGCTGAAAGAAGGAGAGGAAATACCCTCCGATTGAGTGTGCAGTATGTGGGTATGTGGATTTGTAGACAGCGTTCGGTTTAATAGATTCCACCATGAAGGATGCTCCTCTGATTGAGAGAGTTTCATCATGATTGCACGGAATTAGAGGGAGTTGTATAACCCATTGATTTATGGTGTATTTCGATTTTTCTTTAGTAGATAGTTTAGCATGTATTTTTCTTGTTGGTATTTTATTAAAAGTATTGAAATTTTTTAAAGTATTTTTCTTGGTATTTTGTTTAAAGATTTCGTTCTTTAGTATTTTCTTTGGTATGTTTGGTATATTTTTTAACTATCTTAAGTATATTTTAGTTTTTTCCCTATGTTTTTGTTTTTTAAATATTTTAATGTATTTTTCCATTTAATAGAGCATTCCGTGTTCGTTTATTTTCATCCATTTCTTTGTGAATGTTATGCTGGTTTTTTTTTGTAAATCAAGTTTTGCAGTTTTTGGAGTCCATGGTCTCGTCGGGGTCTTGGGGTCCGGGGATCTGGCGCGTTTTTGAAATGTTTGTTATTCCGCAAGAGCTGGGGGATGGGCAGACAGCAGGCAGGCAGGCCAACAGCAACTCGTTTATGGCCTGAAGGGTGGGGGGTTGGTAAAGATACAGGAATAGGGGAACTAAAAGGGATAAGAGAGTTGCATTCTGGGATGAGCCAAGGTTTTAGGCGGATGATTGTGTTTCGGGGGCTACTTTAACTTCTTTCGGTCGTTCGGTCTTCGGTTTTTGGCTTCTGGCATATTTGTTGTGCGGCTTGCAGCAGCAGGCAGCAACAAGCAAAACGTGCAACGCCAAAATATGCAACTGCAACAAGATCTTTACCCTGGCTTTCCCCCTGGCTGCTTGGCAATGCAACATCGTTGTTGGAGTCGTCATTCCGTCTAGCTTTTGGGGTTTTTTGTTATGTGGATTCTTGTTAGCCTTCTTTTCTTCTTTTGTTTTGTGGGGTTCGAGTATGGGGTTCCCGACTTTTGGTCTCTCTCTGTTTGAACACTCTGCTGGGCGCTTTGCCCGCTTGGCTATCTGCCAATTGTTTGGCAAATTAACAGCCGAGAAAGGAGTTGTGGCTCCGACTTCCACTCCGACTCCAACACTCCTCTGTGTTGCGTCTGTTCTCGGATCTGTGGCTCTCTGTTGGTTCTGTTGCAAGTGGCCTTTTTGCTGCGTTCCTCTGTAAATGTTTTGGCAAAAATAACATTTAAATATGCCTTTGTTTGGACGAAAAGTCTTTGGCCCTTCTCCTTAGCCATTTCGTACCTCTGTTCCCCCCCCGCAACCAACTCTAGAGTTCTGTCTTTCCCCCCTTCATTGGAGATTCTTTCCCCCTTTCCCCTTTGTAGCTCTTCTTGGCGCTCTTTTTCCGTATGATAATCTCTACGGTTGTTCTTTTTCTTTGTGCGTCCCTGGATACCCTTGATGTTGGGGTATTCTCGATTTGGTCGAAAGTTTGAGTATTTAATTCCTTTAATTCCTTCGGCATTAAATCCAAAAATTGTTGCTCTTTGGAAACTCCAAAAACCACTTTACCTAGGGTATTCACTACTTCGGTTTACGTAACTTTTCCGCGCTGCCTGCTTCCTGTTTTATCTGTTGGTTTTTTTTTCTCCTGTGTGTGCCATTGAATTTGCGATGCATTCATGAATCCTGCCTGATGCATCCATATTTAGTTAAATTACATGTTTCGCGATAAGACAGAAGAATGAATGGATTGAGGATGCATATGCAGCGCGCCATCCCAGTAATCCTTGAGTCGTTCCTTCCATTCCTGTGAAAACTAATTAGCTAAAGGAGTTTGAGTTCCAAGAAAAATAAGCTTACCCGGGTTTTCTCTCTTGCATTTTTCTGGCATACCTAATTAGACGGCCAAGGCAGATTGTTTTTGTTTTTGCTTTTATTTCTGCTTCAGAGAAACTGCAGCAACTGGCTTTATAATGCATCAATTTCCTTTCTTTTTAACGTTAATTTTTCTGCTTTTTTTTAATGCGTATTTTTCTTGTTTTTTCTTGCAGGTAAGCCCCACGCCATTTGCATTGAAGGATAAACTGCATTGAAGCAGTCCATTCAGAGTCCTATCTTGTGGGGGTAAATAACACTAGTCAACACGATTTTTCCTCAAGGAACAAAACGAACTTTTTCTTAAAGATTTGGGGCTTAGAAATGGTTTGATGATATTTTTTTTTCTATGGCAGAACTTTTTTTGAAGAATTTTTGAAGTCTGGTATTTTTTAGCTTTTTTCAGAGGTAGCGCTTTTTTTTCACATAACCTAGTATCTTACGTCTGGTTGTAAAGAACTTTGCTATTTTGAAAAGATAATTGAAACAGCTAGAAGTTGATACCAAACACTTTGTGATTTCAGCTTACCGTCTGGGAAATATAAAGCATTGAAATGCAAAAATGATGATTTATGTGGGGTATTTTTTACGAAATTTTGACTTTAAAAACTCAGGAAAAGTCGAAAAAAAATTATATCTTGTGTCCTCTATTTTTTTGTGTATAGGTGCGTTAATTTGGCGTCGTTTAAGGTATCGCTCATTAAAATCTATGATGAGACTTTGGAGGTAAAATTCGTTAACCAAACCTAAAATATGGAAAAAATGAACAAAAAATACCTTTTTGAAGGCGGCGGGCCCAACTGCCAATTGGGAACATAGCAAACGAACAAGGGTTGTACATTTGGTACTTGATCGCGTTCCTTTGTTCACAATTGGCAGTTGGGCCCGCCGCCTTCAAAAAGGTATTTTTGTTCATTTTTTCCATATTTTAGGTTTGGTTAACTTTACCCCAGTCTCCCATAGTTTTAATGAGCGATACCTAAACGATGCAATAACGCAATACACAAAAAAATAGGACACAAATATAATTTTTTTCGACTTTTCTAATTTTTAAAGTAAAAATTTCGTAAAAAACCCCACTAAATCATCATTTTTGCATTTCAATGCTTTATATTTCCCAGACGGTAGCTGAAATCACAAAGTGTTTGGTATCAACTTAGTGTTTCAATTATCTTTTCAAAATAGCAAAGTTCTTACAACCAGACGTAAGATACTAGAGTTATGTGAAAAAACAAGCGCTACCTCTGAAAAAAGCTAAAAAAAAATACCAGACTTCAAAAATTCTTCAAAAAAAAGTTCTGCCATAGAAAAAAACCATAATTCTTTAAAAAATTTTAAAGCCCCATATCTATCAGAAAAAGTCGGTTTGGATCCTTGAGGAAAAAAAAAGTTCGATTTTGTCGAGTAGTGTAATCATCGTATTTTAGCTCTCAAGAACCTTTGGAACTCGAGTGTTTTGATAACAAATTGACGGTGCATCCTGGGGCGGGGGGCTTCAATTGACTTGAAGTTTTTTTTCTGTTCGAGAATTGAACCCCTCTGATGATCTCAACTTTTATGTTTGCCTTACATGGAATTGACTGAAGTTCTATGCGCTCTGAAAATAATATTTTCCATGAATTATGGGATTTGTGTAAAATTTTGTGGCACTAACGAGAATGAACTTCAGATGAATTAGAATTGAATGAAAACTGGATTTTCAGAGTGCACTAAAGATTGTTTAGACATGCAAATGGGATACGTATAAATAATCTCCCAGTAAATATCAAACATCATTTCCGTGTCACATCGCTTAGATTTCTTCGATTTATCACAGATCTCTTGAGTTACATACATTAATAATCATGAGGATTTAAAATCATGTCCAATTGATAAACTGGATTATAAAGTGTCCAAAGATTGCTTTGGGATGCAAATTAGAAGCAACTTAATGTAAATAATGCACCTTAAAAGACCAGTTCCATGTCAGATCTTTGCCATATCTCTGCACTAATTTATCCACCCCCCACACATCTCTCGACTGTTTCAATTGCTTGCTCGCCTAAAACGTCCTTTAAATAACAGAACATCTCTTTCATATGCTGTGCGCAACATTCCTCTTGAATTCTCTCAATAAAATTCTCAACAAAATTCCTTGGATGTCGTCCGGGGGCCATAAAACAAGTGGAAGATGAAGCTGCAAGCTGGAAGCTGTATTGCTGCCATAAATAATATATATAAAATATAATAATAAAAACGAAGAACTGCTGTGGCAAGTGCAACCTGCATTGCCATCGCCGGTCGTAGTCGTAGTTGCAGCAATCGAAATGTCAGCAAGTTTTGTGCAGTAGTTCAACTTCTTCTTGGCTACGAAACGGCTTTTTCTTTATGACGCTCGTGCTGCTCTCTGTTGTCTATACAAAAGCTCGTACTTCGAGTTCACATTTACGAGTAAATGTATCTGCTAGATACAATATATATATATGTGTACATAGATGGATATATATATTTATATATACGTTTTTTAATAGGCTAACTGCTTTTCGCTTTTGGGCTTTGGCTTTTGCCTTTGGCTGACTCATCTTTTTCTTTACGCTCGATCAAGTTGCTAGATGCACGACAAAAAAATTATGCCAGCTTGTGGGGCCGATGGTTTAATACCCTTGAAAATTGATTAATTAGTATTTTTGTTTTGTTTTAATATTTTCAAGTATTTTTAAATTGCAGCAATTACTCAGTCTCCCTCTCTCTCTCTCTATCTTTCATAGATTCTGGCATTCGTTTTCTTCTCTAGTTTCTTCGTCAGCCTGTCTTCTATTTCTCTATTCTTTTTCAGCTTCTTATGTTAAGCAAACCGGAAGCCGCTAGAAGCCATCAGCTGGCACCCCGAAACTGATGGCAATCGGTTTGATTTTGCTTTATTCTCTTCTTTAACTGCTCTTCTGGTTGTTCTTCCTCTACTTCTTCTCCTGCTGCTTCTTGTGTGTTTAAGTTTCGCAATTAAAATGCCATTGAGGTGTTTGCTTCGCCATTGCCTTTGCCTTTGCCTCTTCTCGTCTTCGCCCATCGCCTGAAGTGCTTCGCTGCTCGTGGCCTTAATCATTTAATGAGCCCCCAATCCCTTCCTCTCTTGCCTGGACAGGCTGGACACTGAGCGCTTGATGAATGTGAGACAGAAATTGTCGTCTGATTGGGTTTCTACGCCTCTAATTGGCAGGGAGGGAGTTTGATCGGCGAGACGCATTTATCGATAGCAGCTCATTTTGTGCGATAATTGCGCTCCACCTGCTCGATAATTGCGTTTCACCTTGCCGATAATTGTTGTTTTAGGACACTATGCAAGGGTTTATGTGTCCCCCACAGCCAGTCCATGAAATGCCAATGCACACAGCAGAAGGAGGAGGAGGAGGAGTAGGGAGGAAGGCGGACGGACGCATCAATAAAAGATGCAAAACCAGAACAACGCCGAGCTACCGCCTTCTTGCTCCCATTTCCCTTTCTCGTTTGCCACTTTTCCCATTGCCATTTCCACATTTCCACATCCATTTCCTTCGTCTGCGTGTGCGGTGTGTGAAAAATGTAACAATAATTGAAATTTAATAGCCACGACGACAGCCCGCAAAACCAAATGTCGTCAGCAGCAACGACAACGCCAGCGACGACGACGACGACGACGAATGCGACATCAGCTCCAGCGCGAAAAATAAAAAAAACTCTGCTGTATGCCAACGCGGTTGCCGCCGGCACCGGCTCCCGAGGTCCACCGTAGCCTGCCCCATCACCAGGACGCGGTTTTCTCTCCTCTGAATAAATGCATAAAGAACGCCCCAGAGAGAGCGGCAGAGAAAAGAGAGCAAAACCGAAAAAAAAGAATTGCATTCACTTTTACTATTATATTCATAGGCGAAGCAAGTGGGGGAGCACTCTCTATAGAATGCAAAAGGTATCGACTGGATGGATGCTCAGTCGTCAAGAATATTGAATGAATGAACGAATTTTATTGTATTAAAAAATAAATAGAATTTTCTATTATTGTTTTCAATTATTATTTTCTTAAATTATTTTCTTGTATTATTTTCTGGAATTTTCTTGTTGGCTTGTGTATATTTTCGAACTTTAAAACTCTTTCATCCCTCCCAAAAGTGCGCCCTAAGCCAGCATACCACACTACCGTACAGGGTATCAAAATGCATACGTTGCTGCTCTGACGTTGATGTTGTCGTCACCATCTCCATCTCCAGCGCCATTGCCCGTTGGCGGTTCATAAAAAGGAGCCTGAAAATAAAAGTGGGTCAAAAACTGTAAATGATATTTGTTCTACTTGGTTTTAAGATGTTACCCTGTACGTGTCCCGCTCCTCACCTCCTCCCTTGCTGCACTGCATGGCTCTTGTTTATACCCTGTAGGTTAGGGGGAGGGGGAGAATGTATCTGAAACATTAAAATGTTCAAATGTATCGCTTACAGCAGCAGCAGCAGCAGCGAAAAAGGTGTAAAATTCAACACGAAATTCTCACACACGACTTGTTGTCATCTCACAGAAAAGATGTGGTCGATGAACTTTGCACGTTGTTTGAGATTAAGGCAGAGAGGGAGATACAGATACACGGAGAGGGAGATGCAGATACAGTTATGGAGATCGGCGGGTCCAGACTCACGTGGCAATTAGCATACGTCTGCCAAATGATCTTCAAACAGGAGAAAAAAAAGGGAGCGGAATGAACCAGAACTCGGACCATTTAGATACAGTATCTAATGAATGTATCTGTGTTAAATCGTCCGAGATTGTGACATCTGACATCTGACGTGCAGATGAATTGCGGTTTAAGTTCTCAAGATAATTACGGCCTGAAAGTAGTGGAAAAATTGCTACAAAAATTATAAACTGAACAAAAGATAAGATTGAATGAGTTGTGGATTGGAATTAAATGGATTTTCTTTGCTGCTTAAAGAAAAACAAATGAGGGAGATTGTAGATAAATGAAAGTCTGGGCAAAAATTAGATTTCATCTCTCCAAATTTAGCTAAAAACCTATAAAAATATTCAGACTTTCCCAATTCCATTCTAAATCAACATTCTAAACCAATTTAATCACATCCAAGACACACAATGCGCTTACCTTATAGAGAAGACGAACAGGCTATTAAATCAAAAGTTAACCATCAAAACCCATTAATTCTTTGGGGCAGTCCAAAACGAGTTCCATAATGAACAACATCTATGATTTATACAGCTTTTGTTTTTTTTGTTTGTTTAGCTTCATTAAGACTTGTATAAT